TCCATCAGTCCCCAAGTACGTCTCATCTCCTTCTGAGATCCATTAAGCAGAGCCCCAGAACTGCTCTTCCTCCCCGCTTTTAAAAAAATGCTTTAAGATGCGCTGAGCCTTTTTCTTACCTGTGACTTCCAGAGGGACCAAGTCTTGCTCATCATGAATCCCGGTGACAATTTCACAACGATAAAGTCCTGCATCGCTGGCCCGGGCAGCCAGAAACAAGAGCGTGGCATTTTCTCGATGGTGGGGGTATCCTGGCAGTGAGATTCTACCCTCGTAGTTCTTGGAGATCTTCACCACATTATCCTTGGCTACCAAGACAGATACGTCTTGCGGCTGCCCACTGGCAGATTGTACTTTGCTCCACTTGATGCGCGGTGGGTCAGACAGTTCACTGGGGCCCGGGGGGACGGACGCTTGCAAGAGAAACAGGCACGGTAGGGACACCGGTTCTGCCAGCCCGACCCGCACGGGCTGATGGCTGACTTTGTTGATACGGATCACTTTCCCCATGTCCTGGGAACCTATGACAAAAGATGGCCATGAAGGGGAGAAGACATGCGCACATCAACAATGATTTCTTCTTGAAAGAGTAACCTCTCAACCTGGTTAACCCATTGCCCTGGCTGTTTTCACATAACGTGTTACCCCCCCCACACAAACCAACCACTTTTATCGGTTCACACAACGTGCTAAGACAATGTGCTAAAGCATAAAGGAGCTAATCCCATTTTATCTTAGCCTTGCATGTTGTATGGGCCCGGGGGAGAGTTTCCTGCCTTCTGTAGCTCAGGAACAGGCAGAAGTCTGAACAAGATCTTTATGTCCTCGGTGGCAGATTGAAGGGGTACTCACCCCCCACAGTTTAATACATCAATATCTCTTTTTTCCACCCTAAATGTAGTTAAAGACATAAAATATGTAGAAATCAGATCTCTTAGCTCCCTCTTCTGCAGCAGATCATGGGTGCACATTTTCACAGTGACCAGAAAAAGTGTTTTCTTCTCTCCAGATGGGGCTACACTGAAATCGATCATCACCGTACAGAGACAAAGTTTCCTTGCTCATCCTTCTGATTGATTTTTCTCTGCAGCCAACTAGACCCAATTATAGGAAGAGGAGGGCAATGAGAAGACAAGAGGAAGGAAAAGGAAACTGCTGCTATTGGGGACCTAACTAATGGGTCCTGCTATCTCTGCGATCCTGCTGTTCTTTTAACGTAATGAGTCATGATAACCCTAGCCAAGTTGATCAGGAGCAGTAAGTAAGCCCTATTTTTATAGAGAAACTCTATCCAGAAAGGCAGCACGGAGCAGTGGTTAGAGCAGGGTTTCTCAACCTTGGCCACTTGAAGACGTATTGACTTCAACTCCCAGAATTCCCCAGCCAGCAGCAGGGTTTCCCAACCTTGGCCACTTGAAGACGTATTGACTTCAACTCCCAGAATTCCCCAGCCAGCAGCAGGGTTTCCCAACCTTGGCCACTTGAAGACGTATTGACTTCAACTCCCAGAATTCCCCAGCCAGCAGCAGGGTTTCCCAACCTTGGCCACTTGAAGACGTATTGACTTCAACTCCCAGAATTCCCCAGCCAGCAGCAGGGTTTCCCAACCTTGGCCACTTGAAGACGTATTGACTTCAACTCCCAGAATTCCCCAGCCAGCAGCAGGGTT